TTCTTTTGTTTTTCCCTATTTCTTATTTTTTTCCCCCCCTTCAGTTTTGGTGGGTTTTTTTTGTTTTTTTTTTTTTTTTTTTTTTTTTTGGTCTTTAATGTAATCCCAGTTGCCATTTGGATTGAAACTCCTCTGTTGCGTTAACCTTGTATGATTGCAGGGGAAAGGGGAATGTACGGTAGGGAGGAAAAGAAATCGCCTTCTTTGAGTCTCATCTGCTGAGTGAACGGTGGGTAGGGGTAGGAGCATCTCGGCTTGATCCTCCAGTGCTTTTGTTCGTAAGGGGGAACAGCCTCTTCTGAGGATCCTCTGAATTAATATTATCTCGGATGGGGAAGGATCGTATGTTGAGCGACTCCTTCACTCAAATAACGAAGACTGCATTTCTATTGACTTACCCGTTTCGTTAAATTCAGCAATATGAGGAGATTTTAAAAGTTAGTTCACACGGCCAGGAAACTCTTACTTCCTCCTGGGTAGGCAGGGAAGGAAGGTAACTTCCCCTGAGCCTCTTAGCGTGAATTCTCTGTTTCCTGGGAGTCGGAAGAGAGCTCTGATTGGAGTGCGAGATGGCAGAGCGAACTTCTGATTCTAGAGAAATAAGAGATCTCAGTTAATGCTCTGGTGATTTCTGTGAGATCTTAAAAAACAGAGGACTCGTGGAATCTGTCATAGGAGCATTTTCCTCTCCTCTAACAAGCACTGACAGTCTAATTAATGGAGCTACGAGCAGCTGTCGAGTTAGCCGGAGAGACAGAGGAGCTACATGTGTTCTACCCGACCGCCGGCACTGAGCCCTTGCACCAGGTTGAAGCAGCCCTAACGCTCAGCATGCCCCTTAGAAACCTCCCAAAACGAAGGGAGAGAGGTTTAGGTCCTTGCTTTCAAGTCAGAACTAGAGTTCCCGCGAATACGGGCTGTAAGCATGGGCGTTCTCGCGTCGCGCACCGCCAGCACGGGGAGCCCTGAAAGCAGCTTCAGCCGCGGGGCTACCTGGGCAGGGACTCCGCTGGCCCTGGGAGAGGAGAAATTGGGTACAACACCTTGGCATGAGCCTGCTGCTTTTTCTTTCCTCTCACGGTCCACTTCCTTCCTCCAGATATTATTATTAATAATTATTATTGAAATCGCATTTCCCATTTGGATTCCGAGTTGAGCTTGTGTGGAAGGGGGGCGGAGCGGAGAAATACTGAGCCTCCTCTAGTGACTGTAATAAAGCAGATGTCTCTGCTGGCAACAGCAGCCTCCTCCGGGAAAGCTGTATGAGTGGGGCCCACTCAGGGACCGCACTCACCTCCCACTTCAAGTTGCTCATAACTGCTTAGCCTGAGATTTATTTCTTTATCAATAATTTCTTAAACCAGACTGGGTCTGGTCGGCAAGCCTATCCGGACACCCTCAGGCAGCAATAGTTTTAAGTACACGAGATCAAACAGCTTCCCAACACGCCACACTTGGCAGCAGATCTCGTAGCGGGATCTGGGTGGGTTCTGCTACGTGACAAGGCTTTAGACAACGGTGTCCCCCCCGCATCCTCCCTCCTCCTCAGCCTTCCCCGCTCTGCCCTGTCTGCCCGAGAGGCTGCAGCTCTGCAGGCGGAGCGGGGCTGCCAGGCTGCCTCCAGCAATAAAGACCGGTGGCCCAGCGCGGGGACTCGATCTCGGCGCAGGGCTCCCTTCCCTGCCAGCAGAAGAGCTCAATGTGGAAAATGGGCTCGCGTATAGGGGGGGCAGGGAGGAACAGATGACTGTTTTCTTTAAAGATGATTCGCAGTTTGATCAGCTTTTAATAACGTGAGCTCCTGAGCTCGAAATTCACGGTGGGGAGGACAAGTCGATTTTGTGTCAGGCTGGCTGGAGATGTGCAAATCCTCTTCTCTCCTCCCAGTCCTGGAACTTCTTCCTCTCCAAGGAACCACCCCCAGCCGTGCTCTCCGGGGAGGTACTTCACACGCCACACGGCGAGTCCAGGGATGAACGTATCCCCCTCAGCTCTCGGTACCGGCGGGGGTTGAGAGCTGTTAATAGTAACAAACTCTTTCTCCAGGTCATGTAGCAGACGTGCACTGTACACTGCTGTTTATTACAGTATGCTCTGTTGACAGCCACTCACAAAGATGAGATGTTTAAAATAGTGACAATAACTGCAGAAAAATCACATTTCTAAAAATTATGCAGGTGTTAATTCTTCCAGAAATTGGTCACCTGCAAACAAATATTTAAAAAGAGAAACTGTGCTTTGCTGCTATGAAAATATTAATGCTAATTATAAAATATTAGGACTAAAACCTATATTCAGTTCCAATGCAAAAAGCTCCAAGTCATCCTTTATAATTTAATTTACTTAGTAAAAACCCTCCACTTTTTAGTTTGATCCAAATAACTCCAGAAAATGTGCAAAGTTCATCAGAATGCAATGTTTCTACTACACATGAATTTAAACTGCACTGAGAAAGCCACTAAATATATTCAGGTTAAAAAGAAGTCACTGAGATTTGGTTGATTAGGTTTCCCCTTTCAAAGTTGTCTCAGACTTGAGCAATCCTTAACAGCAGAGCAGAAGGAATGGTAAATAATATTGATATTAGTTTTAGGGAAAGTTTTCTCACTCTGTGTTTCCTACTAATATAACCTTTTCCCATTAAAATATTTTTACTAATTATTAATGCTAGAAAGGTACATAAACAAAATAATTATTTTTAATAACACCTAACAAATATGCATGTATTTGCTACTGTTATATTTTGGCAAATCAGTCATTTATATACTGTGTTTGATTACTCTCTCTATAGTAAGCAATTAATGGGGGAAAGTCAACCATTCATTTATGTTACTAGTGAACAAGCCTATCCTAATGTTGGCATCCCTGGCATTCAGTTACTGTGACGATTTTACAACAATCTGAATTAAGAAGTTCACTATTGTAAATTAAAATTGGAAATATTATAAAGAAAGGAAAAGTGAGAGCCTACTTCTCTTCCTGTTTACTTAAAGGAGAACATAAACACATAACTGGATATAGACAAAAAAAATCCTAGCATTACACTAGTTTCCCCAGCCAGACTAAGGCATGAATCCTGCAAGTTTACAAGTTTACACTCATAAATATAGTAATGACTTTGGGAAAAGGGGGGGGGGGGGGGGGAGAGGGGGAAAGTGTTTAACATCACTCTCAAAGCTAATATTGAAGCACAAGAAGCATAACAAGCAATAATGTGAGTTACAGTACTGAGTGACTTACAGTTTCATTTTACCTTGTCAAAGGACAATTAAAAATGTGCTTATCTGACAAACAATTTCAGTCATGAGTTCGTTGTAAGGAGTCTTAATTCTTAAATTCTTAGTATATCTATTGAATAAAATAAGTCAAATGTATGCAAAATCAGTGATCCATTGAATTATCTTATATTAAGACTGTACTTTAAAGTGGGAATTCAGATGCCGAAGAAAATCTTCCTTAGATGTTATAGATGGTGGGAAAACTTCTCGACAGAATTCACATATTCCACACTGATTCAGTTCAGAGTCTGTATAAGCTTGTGCCAGCAAATAATTGTCTTGAGGCTGCCAAACGAGCTGAAAAAACCAGAAAATTATTATTGCTGTGCTTACAATGTGGTTTGTAGTATGTTGTGATTTATATTTATATATTAAAAAATATCTGTCTCTTTAGACTAGATGGCCTTTACATATGCCTGGCCAGAGATTAACTAGAGAGTTCTCATTTATGAAAAGCAAGACAGGACTTTGATTTTTTTTAAAGTTCTATAAACATACTATCCTTGCAAACACTTAGAATGCCTTGGTATCTATTAGTGACAGATACTGCTATGATAAACAGTCTGATAAACATTAAGGCTTTTCTGTAACTTTGGATTCTAGTATTTTACTGCAGAAGTCATAGTACATAATAGCTGTTTAACTGAAATGAGAAAACACATTTTTACTTTAGAATGAAGTGTTTCTTGTACAGAGTTAACATTAATCCTGTTTTATTTCTATTCTTATTGATACATAAGTAGTTTTTAGTTTACTTACAAAATGACTAGAGCAATGTCATATGGCTTAAGTTACTTTTTTGCTCTGACTGCCTTTAGTGTAAATGTTTCTTAAATCTGTTTTGGGCTTCCTTCTGCCATAACAGCACCAAACTCAATGGGACCATTTGAATACCTATCCACGTGTTCAGGCAATTCTGTAAACTATGCTAATTTTGGTTCAGCAGCTGTGCTGCTCTTGGTCCCTGAGTTAGTTAGTTTAAAGCCAGCATATCTATTTACCTGACAGTGGAGTTAAAGGGACTGATACATACTTTAAGTCAGAGTGTACACTAATTATTGAGCATCACATTAACTAGCAATCAAAAAGTCTTCTATCAGTTTTCAAAGTAAAGTTAAAAATTACATTTAATTACTTCAGGATTAGCAGCACAAGATAAAATGTTATATGGCCAGGATGATTAGATTTTGAGCAAATTGAAAACTAGATGCATATTGCTGTGACTGCAAAGTAGACAGAATGGCAGCAAGCTGGTATAAGCTCTATGTGGGGATGGAACCTAGAAGAGCAGAGCACCCTACAGGTTTTTTTGGCTCAGATTTCTCCACTCTTGCTTCACTCACACATGGAAAGGCAAGAAAGAGTACTTTAGGAAGTAGTTTCTTTGGAAGTTTTCAATTTCTTGCTGTTGATACTTACCCGAATGTTTTAATTTTCAGCTCTTATTCAGATTTCATTATACTAAATAGTTGGAAGCTATTGTTTATTCCTCTCATGGTAACTCACTGTACAAGTTACTAGGCTTTCATAGTGGTGAAGCCTTGTTTTTAAACCAGCTAAACTTCTTGGAGTCAATTTCCTGTCCTTCCCCTATTTAAACAGTGTAGAGCTTATCAGATAGCAATAGGAGATTGACTGTCTTTCATTATGGTCAGCAATCCATATAATTAAATTGACTAATTAGTAATGAAGTGCAATCACACTACTTTTTTTCAGCTCAAAGAGTCTACTTTTTGTATGTTGCTGGTGCAAATTGCATATTAAATTTATCTAGACTTTGACACACTTACACAGCCTTATAGAAATGTGTTTAGAATTACTTGTTTTTAGTACCTTATGATGTAAAGCACCATTTAAAAAAATATAAAACAGTGTTGTAAAAACACCACAAAGGACATAATAAGATTTCTAATCTTGGACACACAACAAGGGGAAGTACTCATCCAGCAACCCACTAAGGCAGGCACTTAACTTCCACTTCTTTCTATGAGTGTTCAGTGTGTGCTCAATATGCTTTTCAGAGTAGGACTATATTTAAGTGGATGCTCCACTTAAAACATTAATATTCAGATTAAGAACAATAGGCTAGCATTTTGCTTTTAAAATCATGAACAGTCTTGGAAATATTTTTGGTAGAAACAACCCCCTCAAGCTGTGAATACTGATAAACACATGCATCTATATGCAAGTCTCAGTTAAATGTACTCTCTAAAAATCCTAGGTCCACTAATACCCATATTTATTTTAATCTGCTGCTCTTTTCAGTCACATGTTTTTTTTAAAAGTTACATCCTAGGAAAACAGTACTGAGCTTTCACATTTAGGATCTATATAGAAGAAAAGAGCTAAATTTATTACTGAAACTGAGAGCAGTTCCAAGAACTTACTGTTGCCAAATCTATTGCATTTATGGGGTTTTCCATTTTATAAGTTAACATATGTAGTAAATACTTGGAAGTTTTATCTACATTAGGAAAAAAAAAGGTCAGGTATGTAATTCCTTCTGATTGGAGCTTCATCAGCAGCAGGGATGACAAAAGCTGTAAGCAGTGTAGCAACCCCTTAGAAAGGTAGTAAAGCTACTAAGAACAAGTTTATAATGAAGTTAATGCAGTCGAAAGGGCATGTATGCAAGTAACTTTTAAAACAACAGTACTCTTTTAATTCACATATATATATCTGAATAAAATCTTTAGCACAATTAACGGTCAGAAAAAACTCTAAAGCCAAGTCCAGTTCACTGGGAAAAATACTTAAAACCTCTTTTGAAGGTAGAAAAAAGGCAATGAATGTTTAAATGTATTGATATACACAGATAAATATTTAATGGTTTCTTAATTAATACTGGCTTTGTTCAAACAAGCTTCTGGATAAGATACAACATATTAATCAATGTCCTGTATGTGCTACAGTGCTATTTTAAGTATGACTTAGAAATACTGAAACATTTCACCATTGCCTTTCTTTTCTCCAATTGTTAGCATTATTACCTTTTCTCCACAAAGCAGGTAATTTAAATTTTAAATTAATTATTTTATTTATTTTCCAAATTAATTTCCTTGTTTTGCAGAAATGGTAATGACCAAATCAAGGGTTTATTGCTGTACAACTGCAATTCTCTACTTTTTAAGTTGCATACTCCTCTATCGATTTATAATCACATACCAGCTGTTTCACTTGCTGTAATATACAATGCAGGGTGCCATCTATTGAAAAACGAATACACAGACTAACTAGTAAAAGAACAAGCTGGAGGGGAATACAGAAAAAGGATAGTAACAGGCAATGGAGTGAACGCTTCACAGCTCCACAGGAATTCTACCAGTGATAAAATAAATGGTTTCATTTGTTTAACTCAGTCACAACTTTAACTGAGGATCCAATGAAAAATAAAGCACAATCAAAGCTGAGATGAGTCAGTTGATACAGAATTGAGATATCCTACGTTACACATAGATATTTAAAATACATTTTGAAAAATCTGGCTTATAGTTTAAAATAAAATTATGAAGAACAGCAAACTTTTCAGGCTTTAGACTTTTCATCCAAAACTGACTTGCAACAGAAAATTAAAACTAGCCTGGGCACATTTTAGCAGAAGAAAACATCAGAGCTATAATGTCCTACAAATACTTTCCAAATGCTGTTTTTTCATGTCATGCAGTGGCCAAATTAAGAGGAAAAGCTGTTCTGCTACATGTACCTTGTAATTAGCATAAAACACAAAACCACATAAATGTAAATAGTAAAATATACCAATTGACCTTCACAGAATTGCTAAATATATTTGCTTATTCTTGAAAAAACTGTCATCTCACAAGGTGTGACGAAAGCCACAGAAAGGTAAAAAAATCAGTTTATAAAGGTCCATAATAATTTTTCCAGTAATTTCAGTTGAGTCAGTGTGTTACACAAAAGAAGCAAAGTATTCAGATGTGACTGTCAGAACCTGCCAAAATGTTTTTCTGCATTACAGCAACTGGGCCATGCCTCCCATGGACTTCGATTAGCTGTAACTGGAATTCAAGCTCAAAGTACCTACATAAAACTAAAAGAAATTATTTTAGTGAACTTCCCATAATCTGAAAAAAATAAATATGCTTTCCTCCTTGAGTGCTTCAACTACGGAGAAAAGATTTAACTTTTCTTAGAGAGGAAGCATAGGGTGCTTTTTATACCTCATATTGAGATAAAAACTAGGTAATTTTTCCACAGTGAAGTATATATCTGTTCAGCTTTTGAATTAGTCCCTTTGTCATATTCTCTGCTGCACATTAAAAGAAATTAAAATAATTATGTGCCCTATTCAGCTGAGATCAAGAGTGGAAATAAAGCAATTAAGGGGGCAACTTACAAATAATGACAGCTTTGAGATAGATATAGAAGCAATTAATATCTAAATCAACTTAAATCTGTGCAAGCACATCCAGTACTTGCATCTGCTTAATTTTCTGCCCTTTCACTAGCAAAGTGTCTTGAACACATAACCTCAGTATCAGGAAGAACTGACAAGAGACACTGTCTTAAAAAAAGACTGATGATATACCTCACAGAATATATTAATCCTGTCTCAAAGATCTTTGCAAAGTGGTTGTCTGAATCATTAAACATTTTTTGAAATGTACAGTATTTAGAGAACGATACCTGATGAGGACCTCTGACAGTTGTCCCAGCAGCTTCTAAAGATGAAAAAATTACTTCAGGTATACTCTGGTTTGTGTGCTTAGGTAAAAATGTGAAATCAGTGTCTGTTGTTTTTAAACATGTTTTGTCACGGATATTTTCTATGGGCATGTTTGCATGATTTGGGGGGTTTGTTTTGTCAACAGTAGTTAAGCTTCGTAAAGCTGAGGTCATGAGATCAACTCCATGAGCTTCAAATGAGTTAGGCTCCAATTGGTCTCTGTGCTCCAGGTTAAAATCTTGAAGCATGTTTTCAGCTATACCAGTACAAGGAACTGTTGGTTTTTCCTGAGTGCTCTGCAAGAAAGCAGAGTCATTGTCTGTAGGTGGAAACTTGACATTAAATTTAGAAAGTGATTCTACAGAGTTGTTGTCCTCATCTTGGCCCACTCCTCTTGGTGTGATAGATGTGATGCATGATACACCTCTATTTATATCCTTTATAACCCGAGGCTTAAAAAGCTCTTCTGCTTGTTCATCAGTTTTATCAGTACACTGTATTGGCATGGGAAACTGTATTTCTGTGAAGAAAGAATGAAGAAAACATTAAATAGTCCACTGAAGTATAGTTATTAAAGGTGTGTGTTGAGATATTTTTCCCAAGAGGTTTTTGATTATCTTTCTTGACTTTTTAACCTTTTTTCTCCTCTTTAAAATCAGTTTGAGGTGTAGTTCTCTTTCACAAACATTAGCTCTGACACAAAATCTATCAGAACAGAAATAAAAATAAACAACTCTGTTCTAATAATTCTATTTGTTTGATTTATGGCTATAAACATTTTCATTTTATTGGAAATTATGTTGTCCTATACTCATAACACATACTTGTAAAGTGTTCTGGCAGAAATAGAAGCTGGAATCAAACCCATTTCACATGGTGCCAAGAACATGCTAGGCACCATAAGCATGATTTTAGAAGGTATTCAGGTATCAAACTCCCTTTGGTTTCCAGATTAGGTAAATATTTAAACTCAATAATGATTCAGAAGTGGGGCCATATTTTCCCTTTGTTTTGAGAATCCCCTCTTTGGTTTTGGCACTTTATTAGCCAAACAGGTAATAATATACATGGTTACTCCTCATCAGGTGAGAGAATAACTTCTGTACACACTTATAGTACAGAAGCTGCCTGACATCACTCAAATTTTGCAGTCATGTGGGCCACAGAAGTAACAGAAATCGAGGTGACTACATCTATCATGAATAGCTTTTTGCACATTAGGCACTTATTTAAGGAAAACCAATCAAGTCCGGAGTAAGTTGCCAAGTGCTCATCCCCCATAATAAAGTTCAGTAGTGTACAGTAACAATGCAGTTCAGACATGGCAAAGTGAAGCCACAAGATATTCTTTACCCCTTCATGTAACAAGACTTCAGTAATGGTATAACCTAAATTAGGAACAAGGGCTGAAATCGGCATCTTTTACGTCAACTGTGTAAGCATGGCCGGTGTTTTTGGAAATCACTTAAGAGTCTGATTGTGAAGAAAAGCTAGGAAGGAATACCTATAGTAGCTTACATTATATTAAATGTAAGCATTAGCAGAACAGGACATTCAGGATTTCAGCTGCAACAAGAGGCAAGCCTTTCTTTTGTTTTCAGGAAGTGTTGGATTAAGCTCTTGTCTCGTCTAACAAAGCAGTATGCAAAAGTCTGCACAAGGAAGTCTGGAAAATAAGTCCTCTGACTCTTCTCAGTCCGGCAGTTTTGCTCTAACAGATATGGGGCTAGAGACATTCATAACAGACATACTTTGAACTGACAGCTAAATTAAAAGCAAGCAAGTGCTGTCATTCACAAACTATGATGGGATATCACATGTAGTAAGTGCCCGCCTCTCACTCCAAGGGACAAAACAAGAGCCATTGATGTGATGACTGTCTTTTATAGCATGTGATTTGGAGCATTCATCATAGAATGCCAAAACTGGCGGTGCATTTTCATGGTGAAATACTGAGCACCATGTGAACAGACTTGAAAAAGGCAGATGGTAAACAGTGGAAGTACTTCTATGTATGTGTAATTTACAGTATTTTCAAATATAAAGCAAAGCTTTCAAACAGTTGAATCACAATAAGAGCCTAAGTAGGATATTACCAGTTTCAGGTTCTGGCTTTATCTTAAATTTACACAGTTGGTTTGTTTGTTCTCTGGCTAGCATACATATTCGATGACACTCTTCTTTCATGTCCTGGAAAATAGTCTCCAGATTCTCCCTGGAAGATAAAAATTATAAATTAAAGAGTCAACCAATTCAGCTTGTTGTGACCTCTAATCTAGTCACACTCACAAATCAGAGAAAAAACAATAATGTAAGATACTTTTGTTGGATACCTTGTTCCTCAACATATGCATACATAGTTTTGATCTCCTCAGCAAAAGCAAGCAGAAAGGGAAAAGAAAATATTGTCAAAGAACAGTTTAGTTCTATCATACATTTGAGCTTAGGGCCTGACCCTGCAAGGACCTCCCTGCCAAAAAATCCAGCCTTTACATTTCTTTCAGTTCCCTCAGGTATTTTTTTGGAACAGCTTCTTTCATAAGGGTACTGTTTTTATCTCCTTCTAGGAAAATAAGATGCTGCTGCTGTGAACATTAACTGTTTTCCATTGTTTTCTAAGCACTTCAGACTTTGCAGAAGAAACTCAGAAGCATTGCTACTGCTCCTTCCTTCTCTGTCTGCCTGACATATTGGAGAGGGGCTTGTGAACTCATTCCTTCTCTGTTTTACACAGTATCACACAATTTTTCCTTTTATTTTGATGGATTTTTTACATAATAACTTTTCCAGAGTATCATATGGACATCTGATACTTAGTTATCTGCACTGAGGAATGGTAAAAACAGTTTTCACTGGTGTTCTATTTGCCCAAAGGCACTAAGCTATTCAGTTATTGATGCATCCATAACATTCCATTGTGAAATTTTGATGAACTTCTGAGTAATTTATATTTCTAAGCACAGTAAAATAGATTTTATAAAATGAATATAAAGGTGGAAAAAGTGAAGTTGGTGACAAAATGAATTTTTGTTCTCTTTTGTATCTTTGTATCAAAAGAGTTCAAAAAGGATTTTTATTTAATCAAGTGAATTGTTTTCCTTTTTATTGCTTATTCATATAGCAATCAGGAGTGTCACAAGCTGTGTTCCTACTTCTGCTGTGCTTCTCTTTTTGAAGACACAAATGTCTATTTGTTTCTCATTTGAAAAAAACAAACTAGAGAAGGAGTTAAAGTTGCTACTGTTAACATATTCTGACCATTTTTCAGGTGTTTTGATAAATAAGAAATTTAAAAAGGCTCAGCACAAGTTTCCAATTGGAGCTTTAAAATACACATATGATTTAATGAATCAATCTTAATTTGCTAGACATTTGTGATACTATAATCTTACTAATGTAAGATTACCAGTAATCTTATCAGACACATACCTCTTTCCAAGAAAACAGTAAAGGGAGATATTTGAGAGGAGACAGAAGACAAGGAAAGGTTTTTCATTTTTTAGATATGAATCAATAAAGACAAAAAGATCTTCATTACATCACAATCTTATTTCCTCTCTTTCTTCTCCTAAAGCAGTAGAAAGTCAGACTAAAGATCCATGTAGTTCACCCAGCTTGTCTGAGCAAATGTCAAAAGCAAATGCCTAGGTATAAGACAGAAAGAATTTGATACTTTTCCCTAATACTCTCCTAGCCTTACTTCAGAGAATCTTCTACTTGACCTCAGCAAAACTGTTACATGTCGTATTACTACTCATCCTCTGAAAAATGCAAACCTAAGTCTTTGGTCAGTATTTTTCCCGTTAGGAAATATACTAGTTTTAGTTCTTTGGTCATAGCAAGAGCTGGCTGGCTTCAGATAAACCTGGTTTCAAACTCTCTCATTTAGGATGGATCAGGTCAATAATTATTTTTTCATGCTGACTATCAGACCACCTCCTGGCAGTGCAGCAGGCTCCTCTGCTCTGCTGCCATGAGTTAATCCATTATGGTTGTACATTCTTGTTTTGAAGAGAGTTAATCCAAGGGAGCTAATGCTTACTCAAAACCCAGCATTAACAGCCACTGCAGTTTCATGCAGAGTTTAACCTCCTGCAGAATCAAATTGCTATTTTTCTTCCTCCCAGTTCACACCTAAATACTTGCAAAGCCCCAGCTATGACTTCACATAGTTGCTGGCTTTATTACCTACCCAAATCAGCTCTTTGACCTTTGCGGCTCCCCCCAGCCATTTCTTGAGGCATTGTGTAGAAAAGAGGGAAATAGCTGGTCTTATTTAATAGCAGAAAAGACAATTAAAAGCAATTTTAATAATGCTGTGAAAGTGTTTACCTTTCAGGCATAGGAGAAATACCAGAGATCCCTAAAGATAATTCAGGCTTATCTGGAAGAACTTTCTTACTTTTCACCTTGAAGCAAAATATGAAAATATTGATCACGGGTTAGCATATTCATTTTGCTCTTCATCCTGATATGAATAAAGATGTCATGGGATCCTTCACGTAGTCCTTCTGGAAGCTCTCAAAATATTCACAAAATAATAAAAAGCAGTTTTTTACTGTTTGTGTGAATTCCTATTTTTAGTTCAACTTAGAAACTCAGTGTGGCATTCCTCTGCTCATACTCCCTTGAAAGGAAGCTGGTTCTAAGAATATTGCTGTTTCAATCATGTATAAGGTAAGGATATGTATTGTGTATAAGCTAGTTAGTGAGGTATCCAGGTATTTTAGCTCTCAAAAATAAATTTATTAACTGAAATTTTCAGTGAACACAGCCAAAGCTAATATGTCAGGAATTCTAGCAGGTTTTTAAGTAAGTTATTAACTTTCACTACCACCGTGTGGTTCACTCTAGTATTACATAGTTTTAAATCTGCCAGGCATTAAGCAAAGTATTGATAATAACCAGTCATTAAACCACACTTCAAGTTCATAGATGCTCCAAATCAGACAGAACTTGATCAGCTGATTGCTAAATCAGCTGATTGTTTATAATCACAGACACAGAGACCATAGGTTTTTCTTACCTTGGACTGAAGTGCAACTGCAGCTCCTGTAGACACATATTTGAGCTGCCTTATACCTAGCGACATGGGTTACAAATGCTTGCCACAGTAAATTAAGCATTGCTTGGGAAGTGTAACAGCAACAAATTACATATTGCTGTGCTCCTACCCCTACCTATGTTCACTTTAAGTTAGCTAGCTAAAATATATGAATGACTGCACTCTGGCTATCCCAGGACAGAACAGCACTCTGGATGCTATTCCGTAACAAAAATACAGTGGCATAAAAATGAAAAAATCAACTCAATCTTGGTGAAAACTTCCAACTGAAGGTTATAAAACAGAAATGCCAATCTGGAGTTTTCACAAATACTAACATTTTAATGACATAGCATAAAATAATTAACACACAAAAACCACATACATATTTAATAGTTTGGTGTTCCCTATGTGTTATATACTGTAATGATTTCATAGTAATTATACAATGCTGAAATTTAACACCAATTTCGTAAAATAATTAGCATAAGTATGTTTGAAAGCAGTAGTAATTTACAAATGTTTGTTTTTTTCATTTTATCTCTATTTGGTTGCTTATCTTACCTCCCTTCTATATGTTGGCATCTGTATACCCTTTTGTGCTTCATTTAATTCTTTCAATTTGATTTCCAGAGTTCTTATTTTATCTTCTTGGTTGGAAATGATAGATATAAGCTTCCTTGCCTTTTGATTGCTTTTGTCCTCAAGTTGCTTCAACTTCATGCTCTCACTTTCTAACTGTTCCTAGAAAATAATATTAAAACCACCAGTACAATTGATAGAATTGAGGCTTGTGGAATATCACTATTTAACAGTTTGGAATAAGCCAAATAAAGTTTTTGCAACTTAAGGGTCAGTCTTATTTATTACATTAATTTTACATGGGTAATAAAGAGATGGTGGATATTGGAAGAGCAACTGATGTCATCTACCTGGATTTGTGCCAGGCATTTTACACTGTCCCACATGACATCCTGGTCTCCAAACTGACAAGACATGGATTTGACAGATGAACCACGTGGATGGATAAGTAATTGGCTGGATGGCTGCCACACCCACGTGGATCCAGATTAAGCCTTTTCTGCTCAGTGGGTTCAAAACATTGTCTGGGATGATTCTACTACAGCAAAACTCCTTAATCCTAACCCTCCTTCCGTGCTTTGCACTTAAGGCAGGTTGTGGGGAAAATCATATATGTAGTTCTAGGACTGATCATAAAACATTTTCTATACTCTTACAGGGTACAATCTGTATACATCCAGTGAAGCAGATGAAAAAAACCCAAAACAAACAGCAAAGAAGAAAAAAGAATATAAAGATTTTATAGGTATAATTCTGGAAGAAAACTAAAAAAAAAACCAAACAAGAAGACTGCAGTTAAGTGGGGACATCTTCAACTAGATCAGCTGCTCAGAGACCTGTCCAACCTAACCCTGAATGTTTCCAGGGACAGGGCATCTACCACCTCTCTAGGCAATCTGTTCAAGTGTTTCCCCCCCCCTCATCGTAACAAATTTCTTCCTTCTATCTCATCTGAACATTCCATGGTCAAATTCCATTTCCCATTTAAAGAACCGATGGGGCACAGCTTCTCCTGCATTTTCCTTTGAAAATGACTTGCTGGAAGTACAAACACTGAGGAAAAAGCTTATGTCAAAGACAGCACTTGCCCTTAAAGAACAGCTCCATATTAAGGACAGTAAAATAACTTTCACTGAGCCTGCAGTACACCTTTGGTCTGTACACACATCACTTATCTGCTTGGGACTACTGCAGCTCCAAGTAACATTGTCTTTCAAAAACTTTCAGATAACTGGGAGCACTGCAGTAATGGCCAGTAGTTCTCTTCCATTTCTCAAATGGGGACAAGATTTAAGCAAGTAGTGAGAAAAGCTCCTTGGGAACCAATGTGAGAAGAGCCATGCAGAATGTTGCGATGAAGCAGATCAGTATACACTGATGTAAATTGTCATTCTTACGTACCATGAGGCTATCACACCATGATGAACACTGGAGAAACAATTACACCTCTGGGGATCTTTCAGTAACGCAGCTCCTCAGGCCTTCATGATCTTATAGTTTCTAATACTGACTGAGTTTGGGTGCTTGCAACAATATGGTAATATTTATAAACTGGCTGAAGTTTATAAAGCTAATGCCGTAACAAATACGTATGTCACACCAGCTCACGCCAGCTCAGTTAAGTACCTGGCCACACAATAGATCTTTTACACATGCTGGTATTATCATCCAGCAAAGAAGTTACGTCTGTATTATGAGCAGATCAATATATTTTCTTTTGGAGAGGCTTTACAGCACCAGAGGATAGTTCAAGCTGGAATGAACCTCAAGGGTTCTCTAGCTCCTAACTCCTTATCAAAGCAGGGTCAGTTATGATGCCTGATCAGGTTACTCAGTTTGGTCTTGAATTGCCCAATGATAGAGACTGCACAATGTCTCTGGGCTACCTTATCTGATGCTTGGCTGTCCTCATGATGAAAGGTTTTCTCTTAAGTCCAGTCTGAACCTTCCATGTTTCAATTGCCTGTTGTACTTCCATCCTCTTGACATGCACCGCTGTTAAAAGCCTAGCTCCATCTGCCCGATAACCTCAGCTTTGGTATTGGAAAGCCATTAGTTTCCCCTGAAGCCATCTCTTCTCCAGGTCACACAGGTCCAGTTTCTGCAGCTTCTCGGCATAAGGTACGTACTCAAGTCCCCAGAAATCTCAGTGAGGCCTCTGCTGAGCTCACGCTAGTTTATCAGTATCTTTCCCGTACTGGAGGTCCCCAGACTGGATGCAGTATTTAAGACAGAGTCTAACAAATGCTGAGTAGTGGGAGATACTTGCTTCTCTGGGTGTGCTACTTGTAATCCTGTTAATACAGCCAAGGAAGCCAGGACATACCACTGGCTCATGTTCAGCTTGCTGTTTAGCAAGATTCCAGTTCAAAGCCAGTCAGTCCCCAGACTGTTCTGTTACAAAGGCAAGTCCTTTTATTTTTTCCCTGAAGTCTGGTATAATGGCCTGTTTCAGTGTCTTCCTAGAATAAACAGTTAGATAGTTTCAAGGAAAAATACTGCTCAACTGATGAATTACTGTGTCTCTGAGAATATTAACTGTAACTTCTAACAGTTTAACCACAAACTCTTATTTAGTATTGGGTAGAGATCACTTAAACAGACAAAGCAATAAGAAAAAAGGCTATTGGTACCAGAATTTCTTATCTCAGGTAGCAGAGCCTAGCTAATCCTACTGCATACATCATACCAGCACCAAAGAACAGTTAAGTGCATACAATTGTCAGCTAGCATAAAATAATGAGGTACCGCTTTCTTTGCGTCAAAGATAGGAAACAAAGTGACACTAGAGAAGCTGGCATTGACTGGAACATACAACTCCACACAGTAGCTGCTCTTAGTTATCTAAGTCATGTTAGCACCATCATGTTGAGCATAAAGTTAACTACCATACATTGGCCATTCCTCTGCTTACATCCTGCACAAAAAAAGATCTAAACATTTATTGCATGATGAACGTTTTTGTATACCATGTGCATCATTCATTCTTGATATAGTTTCCTTCTCTTTTTCATGGCATAAGAAATTCCAATCTACAGACTCCACACAGTGTTTAATACTAAGGTTCTTGACCCAGGAAAATATGAACATGAGTATGTTTTCTTGTCACAGGTATTGACTTTAGCAGCATGTTTTCTGGAGTTTACAAGGATTCTGATGTCTGACTCTGTACTAAAAATAGCATGCCGGAGAAGCTTAACTTGATATTATCTATTTTCACTTACTAAGGTTTTCTCTTTGCTGGGCAGCTTTGGCTCTGCAACAGTAACTGGATCCAAATTCTTCCTAGTTCATAAAGTTTAGCCAGGGTGTACTCAAAAAAAGACAGCAATTTAGATCTCTCTAGTCTCCTTAAGAAGGACTCAAAAATCTTGTATATAGTTCGGTACAGACTACCAAGGCAACCTGGCCCATTCAATTCTTTCAGTGAAGATGAATGTGAACAAGAAGCAAAAATAAGAGCCAAAAGGCATTTAATGGCATGCTGGTCACAGAATTTGACAACAGCAGGTAACATACACAAGTTTGGCCACCTACTAGAAAACACAGAAAAGCTAACCCCTCCCTCATTTTAAACCTACTAGAAAACACAGAAAAGCTAACCCCTCCCTCATTTTAAACCTCTGAAATTTAAGCTTTAACCATCCATCTAGCAATCCAGGATTTATACAGCCCACTGAGAAGTGCCATTGGACTTAGCAAAAGACAGTTTCAGTAGGTATCGATAAACCCAGGCAACTCCAGCCACGGGAGAGACTCTGGAGTTTCAGGGAAGGAAAGTAATTATCAGCAACATTTTAACTTAAAGACTGTAATAATAATTTTTTATCTGAAACTGTACACTTGGAAAGCCCGAGAATTTTGGTTGAGAAGTAAAATAAAGCAGTATAGGATAATGGCTGTAGACATAATTTACTTGATTAAGAGCAGAATGTGGAGAGACTATTATTAGAAAAATTCAAGCTTTCAGATAGACTATCCAAGCTTCCAAATTTCAATAGCTGAAAAAGCCATTACTTTACTGAATTGGATACAAGAGAACTATACTGTGTCAGTGACTAGATGATGGATTTTTGATATAACAGATATCAAAATACCATGTCTAGGGAAAAGTAGAAGAAAACAGGAGGCATTAATGATACTTTAATAAACTCTCAGACCTTCTTGGTAAGTTTCTAGGTATTTATTCACTCTCAACAAATTTCCCTTACATGAAGTTGTAATATTTTCCCTTGAAGCAGGAAGTTCCACTGGTTGACCACCTATCCTGTGAAGAATCAGGTCCTTTTTTTTCCTTTGCACAAAAGTGCAAAAATTGGCAGTTGCTATAAAAGCATACAAAGCATTTATCACAGTACAATTAATTTTCTGTCATCTTCAACAGGAAGTTGGTGCTATATGTTTCTCCTCCCCTGATGTTATTCAGTAAAATAAGGACTTGTATACAGAGACTACTGTGTATCTCCACTCACAGCCAGTCCATGAATGGCACAGCCAATACACAGCCAGACCTAACAGAAGTGTGCGTACCTTGGCTGTGCTGGCTGGACATCTTTGTATTGCTCCTGCCAGGTTAGCAGAAGCTTACTAGGCACAACACCAAACATTAGGATATGTCTTAGATGGGAAAGATGGTGTAAAGATATCCATGTGCCTGTGCAGAAGCAAGCCTTGGTCCAGTCAAACATGTTTTCCTCAAGCTCCATGCTCTCAACACTTATAAGAAGAGAACTGCTACATTCCCAATAACAGGAACATAGAGTAGGCTGGGTCAACCAAACTTTGTACGGGTTTAGATCTCAACTGATCCTCTCTGAAAAGACATTATTTGTACAGCATTGTGCCTGGGTTTAAATGCAGACAGACAGTATAGTTAATATTTGATTCTACATGGAATTATACCAGAAATATTTCTGTTCATGGCACAGATGAAGCATAATCCAGAGGAACTACCTATTGCTGAGAGGTAACTGTAATAACTGACCCCACAAAAATATAGAGATAAAGGTAAATAGCTTTGGACTGGGCTCTGAGCAAACTGGTCCAGTGAAAAGTGTCCATGCCTGGTGCAGGAGAGCTGGAATTAGATGATCTTTAAGGTCCCTTCCAACCCAAATAATTCTTGGTATTCTATGAAATAACTTAAATCCCATTAAGCAGCCCCTGAAATTATGATTCCAGCTTCTCATGCCTGCAATCTTCTGTACAGATCCATCAAAGAATTAACCCTTCAGGTGTGTTGTACTCCAAATAAATGTAAAGATCAGAAAAGAAATGACATCCTGTGGTTAGAGATTCTAGTGTACAAAAATAATATAAAGACTTTTTTAAAATAAAAAGGAGTGTAAATAGAAAAGCTTAGTAACAGTACATTAAAGTGTTGGCAAAGGCTTAGTCTTATATGAGATTCCTTCAAGATAGTTAAGCAAGCATCAGTAAGCCAATGATTTTAAAATTAACATTTCTGATTAAAAATTGCATTTATGTGACTTTAACATAATTTATTTATTTACAGCTCGTATGTAGGAAACAAATCCTGAAATTAATTATTTTTTTATCAAATCCCTGGTTTTGTATAAGGGTCTTTTTATGGCCCTCGTTGGTTCCCTCCTGTGGAGATTCATATTCCAAAATGAGATTTTGTGTCAGTAGACCGTTCTCAAAAACCCACAGTAGATGTCTTAGGATAACAACAATGTCACTTTTGCATCTCTGTCACTGTCTTTGCTCAATATGCAAAATCCATTCAGGGTATTTTCCTCATCTATTCTGCACTACTTATTTACTCTTATTGCTGTTACTCAACTGGCTGTAGTGAAAATCTCAGTATAATGTCAGTGAAGATGGGCAGAAGAGTTATCATATTAATACAGGCTATTTAAAAAAACCCAAACAAATCATAAGTATTTCTAGAGCAACATATAGTTCACTTTTCACACCATCAGTTTTTGAGTGCAGATTCTCCATTTCTTGCAAAAACACACATATTGGTTGCAATATGGAAAGCTCTTCTGAGAGAAAAAAGAAAGCCTCTTCTTGACCATTTGTTTTGACAGGTTAAGAAAGAAATAAGCAAGTAAGTTCCTACTTTAGGATGAAAACTAGGGAGCTTGATGCGCAAACAGCAATTGCACTGGGAAGGATCAAAGATAGCAGTTTAGTTCACCTAAGCAGACCGCACTGGCATAACGGTCATGCACTTCAGGTGAGGATCTTGTATTAGATGAAGCACCGTTCAAAGGCACGAGTAAAAATCTCACTTATCTCCTTAGGTTCTCATTGTATAATCACAGCATAAATGTGATCTATGTTAAACATAATACAGGTGACCATACCTTTAAGAGTTTTTCTCTCTGCTTTGCTATATTCAGTTTTTCAGAGAGCTGGCTGAAAGATAAGTTGGAGGTTTCAATGTCTTCATGGATGAGAATGTAGGGATGCACATTTCCTTAAAAAAAAAAAAAAAAAAAAAAAAAAAGGCAGCTGATTGTCACTGCATTTTTCACCAGCCAGCTTTTAAGAACAAGGAAGATTAAAAGAACTAGGCTTACAGTATCTTCTTTATTTTCTTTGAGCAAGGCTTCATACTAAACAACCAAGAGAAGCCTAATTTTATGCTTAGAGACGATGCAAGACTAAACCAGCAATAAAGAACATATATATGTATTCTTAAAAATAAAAGCCAACCACTTTACTAGTATTTACGAAAACCAGGAGTGTTAGGCTAGCGTGAATAAATATTTAATGAGCATAGCAGATTAACACGTTTGCTTTGACTCTTTTCTCTTATTTATGTAATATAGTCAAACAGTGGAAAATTATCCATCAATGACTATTCGATTTGAAAGAGAATTACTTGCTTATAAAGCTTTGGTTATCCAGTAAGATTAGCATTACAAGACTCATCTAACATAAAAGGCACATAGCACTCGCATCTAGAACAACCTGAGCTCAACATATTAACAAATAGTTGTAAAATTAATATGTAACAATTTTGTTTTAATTCTAGTGAAGGATTTGAACCTATATTTTCATAACCTTTATTAGCTTCAGTGTAGCAGGTTCTACATTTCAAGAAAATTCCACCATTTCTTGAAAAGGACAGACACACCTCAGAAGTGTTGCATAGATTTTGAAACTGCACATTTGCAGTAACTGACGTTTACAGAAAAGTATGATACTACTTTGAGAGACGTATATTATAAAAGCTGAAGCAACAAAGTCAAAACTATTCGTCAATGCAACACAGCATAAAAAGAAGTAATGTGCAAACTGGAGTACATACCTCTATTAGCATTCAGAGCAGCTAACTGTGATTTCAGTTTTGCAATAATGCTATTTTGAAGCTCTATCTTTTCCTGCTGTTCACGTATTTGCTGCATGTAGTTTTCTGTCTGCAAATATAATTCAATCAGCATTAATTTTATCCTATGGGGGATATCCTAGGGGTCTCCTATTTGGCATATAAAAAGCAAGTCTGATTTTTACAGATAATTGTAGTTGTGTGACCTGTGTGAAAACGCAACTACAGTCACCTACGACAAATCCATGTTTTTCAGACTGCCCTGATTAGAAAAACTATTATAGGAATAAAATCCTGATTTTCAGTAACTGTTTCAAATGTGGCAGGTGTAAAGGACAGATACCTTTTAAGTATATGCTTATTAATTTGTAGCCATAAAACACATCAGGTTTAAAATTAGAATTTTGTTATACTTCAGAATGCTGATAATTTAGTTTATCTACAGAAAAATGTAATTTTCTTCCTCCATATTTTCTAAAAAATAAATTATATAAATAAAGACTTTGAAAAATATTTTAAATGGAAAACAATAACATTGCTTATTCCATACAGCAGTTTTGCCTGTTCCTTTGAATGCAGTAGACTTGTTTTTCTAACCTAGGAAATGGGGAGGATGGGGTGGAAGCAAGGAAGCAGCCCCATTCTTCATCTAGGCATACTAAGCCTAATATGACTGCTCACATTTCACCAAAGTGTGTAAATACTGTTAGACAGCCAGTTAATTGAACAAGCAGTCAGGTGGCAGGAAGATGCTAATATTAAAAAAACTATTTCACTAGCACATGTCTAATGTTGCAGTTATAGCAGTGCTAAAAACTAAGTAAGAAAACTTGTGAAGCCCCAGCAAGGAAGCTTTTAGGAATTAATTTCCTGAAATTATGATTTATTTTTAAATTAAAAATATGTCTATTACTGAACAGGTCATGACCTGGAACAATACTAGGTACTGTTTTCATGGTTATTCATAGTTTATCTGTGCTGCTATCTAATTCTCAAATCTCAGTCACACTTAAGTTGCACAACCCCCTGCTGCCCAAGGTGTCTGTCTGTAAAGCAGGCAGGAAAAATCTCCAAGCAAAATTTATTTCAAAAGGCCATGTAGTATTTATACTATGAGAGTATATATATAAAAAAAAAATAAAAAAAAAGTGATCAAAGAGCAGTACACTCCAGCAGCTATAAGAGACCTCATGAAGCAGAAAAATCACTGAGAACCAAATTGAAAATGTACAACAGCAATGTCTTGTCAACACTTCTGTACAGAGCACAGACATGACAGCTAAAACAGACAGAAGAGAAGATGCTTTTGACAGCCAGTGTGCACAAATTATTCCTTGAGTCAGATGGCAGCAACAAGTTACCAACTAGAAGATCTGCATGACAACCAACCATCCATCTGTATCAAACACCATCTGGCTGAGATGACTCTGGCTTCTGTGTGCTTGACATGGCTCCCAGCTCTAGAGACTGGCAAAACAAGTGGCCTATCGGTAACTTAAGTAGTAAACTGTTAACAACAGAATTGTGGACAATCCAACAATGTGTGAAGGCCACACAATGAACAGAGGAAGTTACTGAGTAAAGCACTGTATAAAGGTCTTTAGAAAACCAGGAGTTTGATTAAAAAACTGGAAAAACAACACAAACCAAATGCACCAGACTAATTATAGTATGAACTCTTCTTGAAAAAATGTTTGATCTCTTTTGAAATAGTGAAATCCAACTACTGAAATTTGATTAGGACAAAGACTTGAATGGGTAGTAATCCTTTACGTGAAAGGCTTTAGTTTTTAATTTCTGAACCAGACAAAATGCACAGAAAAATCTTACATTTAGTTCACATAACACTAATGATCTCACAAACTTCAATTATTTTCTTCGATAGACTTTAGAAAGGCTACATGACCTTTTACTTGTCTTGTTTTTTGGGGAGAAGTTTCCTTTGTGTACCTTTAGATGACCCAGGAGTATTGATTAACAAGACTGGTTTTCCTTAAAATAATAAAGTGTTCATCATAAAAGACAATTTTAAATATTCCCAAACATTCTAAAATGTGTTGCCTTTTCCTAAGTTAGTTGCAATGTCAGCACCAAAGGTACTGACCGACACACTGCTTATGCTCGTTAATATTAGATACAGATTTGCACAAGCACCACTGCAACAGACACAAATAGCACAGCGGATGATTGCACCCCATGACTGACTTGGTACGTGTTCTGCAATGCCTTGGCTAGTTTATTTTGCCATGCAAGGGAATGGAAAGACTGTGCCCAGATATCAGAATATTCTCTAGTAGAACTATTCCTGCTCCCAATTCTACTAATGTTTCCATAACTTGACACAAAGTATGATTCATCTGCTCCTAAGCAAAGTTCCAGCCTACCAGTTTTACGGGAGTATCAGAAAGTCCTGTAGCATCAAAAACATTCAAGCCTTGCTATAACAGAGGTTTCATTACTGGGCAGAAGATGCATAACAAAACTGACAAATTATGACAAAGTTCAAAACTGATAGCTTTGCAATATGCTGGCATATATCATGAGAGGTCCTAGAAGAGTTTTGGCTGAAGTAGTACATTCTACAACAAAGTAAAAATTCAAAGGTGCTCCTTACTGGCCAGAATGTCTTCCAAATCTTTCTGTTACTTCAAAATTAAAGAACATTATTATAGATGATTATTTAAAAAACCCTTAACATTATCAGAGTAAGTATTGAAAGTTTGCTGTAAACGTTTCAACACACAAACTGTGTTGTCTTAGTAGCTTGCACAGTGCTTAACATATTAGTCTTTGACACTTCTATCAAGTAAAGCAGTAATTCATATGGCATATGTTTCTATCAACAACAATAAAAAATTTAAGATATTTACATTAAAATTCTAAAAGTAATTTTTAAATAAAGCTATTTAAATTTCAAAAAGTACTTCATTAAAGCTATATAAATTTTATATACAAGTCTACTCTTTACATTAAAAGACCTCATTACTACAAAAACAAACAGCACTTTTCTCACCTTTAAAACTACAAAAGAAAATTAAAGGTCATAATCCTGAAACCCACCAACTACATTCACAACTTAATGAGTTACCCTGCAGTGTGCCAGTCTGGTTTCATCCAACTTTAACAGATGTACTGCAGTGTGCATAGCTAAAGTGAAGCTGAAATGTACATGTACCACAATTCTCCATGGGAAGGATGGCTTTAAAGATACAATTCAGAACCCAACACATACTTTCTGCTGTAGTTCTTTCGCAGCATGGTCCCTATCCATGCATGCTTGTCGATAGGCTTCATAAGCTTTGTTAAGCTGCTCTCCAATGTTTTTGTCCATAATTCCCAATATAGTTTCATCACTGAAAAGACGGTCAAGTTAGCAGACCTGAAAAGTAATGAAAAGAAAAAAAAGAGAGAATGCTAAGAAACACAAGTATGTAACTAAAAGCATATATAACATGGCTTGTATTAATATTAAATTCAAGTAATATGTTCAGTATGTTTGAGCATTAACTCGCATAATAGTTTGAACTATAGCTCTTCTTACCTCAACATTTAATTTTACTTTCAGAGATGCATTTAAACAAGACAAATAGAAGTAGGTTAACAATCAAATTCTGAATGTACAGAATGTGTAAATATATATGTAGTTAGTGTTTGAGGTCTGAGACTTAAAATTGGTTCAGATCACCAGTTACCTGATTTTCTTACATTTCCAACAGTTTAATGTTTACTCAGTTGTGAAATAAGAGGTGTAAATACCAAACCAAAACAGAACTCATCTTTTGGCATTAGAAAATAAAAAGACAAACGCTCAAAAACATTAGGTCACATGGACCTATCCTGTTCTATGCCATATTTAAAAATGGCAACGCAAGCAACACTACAAAGTGAATAGAGACTTCTTGCATCTAAAAATCAGTAATACAAACCGGTAAGAATTAGCAAGTATTCACACAATACTATCAACTTTTTATACTTTGTGAACAATTTCAATAACAGTTCCTGAGAGTACAGCTCATGAACTTTGACACATAAGCCTACAACACTAGTAAATGTCACAGACTTCAAACATAGGACAGTGAACATCACAAACACAGGTTCCTTACTTCTGTAGTAATATTACAAGCATTTTAAGATCAAAATTTATCATAATGTAAATATAGCAGAAGACAGGTTAGTAAAGCCTCAACAGAACTCCAAATCCCAAAGTATCAGCATTAAAAAAAAAATAAATAAAAATTCATATCTCCTTTCCTGACACTTAAAGCATGGTTACATCACAGTACACAGTATGGGCAGTCTCTGTAATCTATTACTATCTTCTAGGATTGTGCATAAATCACAAACACTATTAATGAAAGTGGTGCAGTTAGAAGAGGGTTAGCCAAGTAAGAAGGGTATGAGGATAACTTTCCTTAGATTCTGGTAAAAATTCTAAGGATTGCAGCTTGAAGCTTTTCTTTATGTTTTTCTGCTCTTGAGTATCTTCCATATCATAGAGCCTGAATACAGAAATGTGGTTTCACTTTCCTAGAAAGTGCAACAGAGTAGTGTACGGATGTCGTCGCTTTTAGTTCTGCAAACTTCGTTTGAATGGTATGTGTGTATTGCAAAAGCCACTCTATCTGTACTCTGGCACGGCTGTACTTTAATAGTGGCAATGTGAATTCTTTAACTGCTTGGAATAATTTCAAGATCCTTTGACATAACAAGTATTACTGAAATTCAATCTTGTAAGTTTTGTGCAAAACTCCTTCATATGAAAGGCAGTGGGTTTTTTTCTGTTTTGTTGTGTTTGAGGTTTATTTTTTAATTTTTTTTCCCCAGTAGTTTATATTCTCAGTTCCATGAAGAGTATCTTAAAGCATTGCAAGCGACTTTATCCACCTTCTTCATCAGCCAAAGAGTATGCCTCTACTAGCTGGAATATTCATTATAATACCTGCGGCACATCTTTAAATAAATGGACAGGCTTTTCTTCAGTTTCAAATGAAGGACTGTTTTATGTAGTTCAATTAATAAAATCAGATATTACAACTGGCTGCAGGAGCAGGTACTAAACTGCAGAAGGATATTGTTACGGCTGAAAGTGATTGGAAGTGTGCTCTCAGAGTCTTAAAAAACTTGCAAGTGGATTTAAAAGACTATGTTCAATTTCTATCAGAGGGAATAGGGTTTAGCTCCATATGACAGTTGATAGAAAATAAAGGCATTAATTTCATTCATGCAAATTCAAATAGCAATTTGAAAAACAGTATGTAAAATTTGTATCTAACTTCCAGCCTTCTACTTAGTGATTGATTGAGACTGGCAGTATTAACAAAGAGTTTTGCTCTTATCTGGACTGCTAGTACCAAAAGTAATTGATCCAACAGGCAAAATTGTAGCAGTGCACCTGATTTTCTACTTAGTAGAGAAAAATAAGGAAAATGGCAGCTAATTTACTGTTAGCCCTCTAAAATCCAGACTCCATGCAGTAAGAAAGGGGCAATAAAAGTCATTACTAGCAACACTGTAACAGAACTGTAAACAGAAGAATTGGCCCTAGACACTCATTTCTGCTTCCATCTCACCCTTCCCTTTCTTCCAGCGCAAGCAGCCTTGCTGTAAGTAGTACCCACAACTAAGTGCTACAGGTATTTTTGCTGTGCTAGTTTTAATGCAGATCAGCTCCACAGACCACTTCAACCAGCATGATAAGCCAAGGGAGCCAGCACAGCAGCAGAAAACATCAGCAAAAGGCCAACAGAACTTGTGCTCAATGGCAGCACTGGCTTAGAAATTTTAACATGAAGTCATGGTTATGTAACAGTGACATAAGTCTATGCACTGCCACAGAAAAGGATATTCCTGCCTTTCCCCATCTCTGGCCATGTTGTTTTGCCACTTACTGGTACTAGCACTTCTGTGCTACACAGTGTGCTCCCTGCTTCCTCAAAAAAGCAAAACTAACCCCCCTAAAGAAACAACCCCAAAATTAAAACTGGAGATGGCTCACTGTGAGGCTGCTGGAGCACTACTACCAACACAGGGAGGCAGTGGGAACATGAGAGTTGCCGTGGGCAGGACTGCAGCAGTCTAGATTTAGATTGGATTAAACTACTCTGTAGTCACACCCTGAACTGCCTGCTGCTGGAATAAAGAACTGCTTCTTATGTTCTCTATCTCATAGCCAGAACTCTTTGCAGTTAGAAAAACTGGCTCCTTTTCTGGCTTCTCCTCCATAGGCATCAATATTTATCAGGGAATTTGCCAACTGTTCCTTGTCATTTACTCTTCTCTCTACATCCAGTTTGAAGGAAAAAAAAAACCCAACAAACCAGCACACAACCCCCCAAAATAAATATCCCCACTATTTTAGTCAGGCTTAGGTATGCTTTATCCAGACAGCAACTGGAACATATTCAGCCTAAATTTGACAACCCTAATCTTTGTCCTGCAAATGTGAGCACCTGGGAGTGTTGTGTTGCTGAAGCTATGGCAATGAGAACTAGGATTTCATCTGTAAGTAAAGACTTGAACACTGGAAAACAACTGGGTATAGCAAATATTTTAAGACAAACCTTTAAGTAAACAAACTGTATGACACCTGCAGATGCTCTTAAAATACTAGCTTCAAATGAGAAACATTTTTGTGATACAGGCGGTAAAAAAAAAAGACAGTAATATGAATTTTCTGAATCAAATGCCAAAAAAAACCACAACACAAAGATCAGCAACATAATGCTGTGTACATCCTGAAATCTCAACTCCACAGAACACTAGAGAGGCACATTTTGAGTCTTCATAGGGCCTCAGAAAACACCTTAATTTATGAAAAAGTAAAGTGTTAGATAATCCTGTATATATACACATTAATTCATAATACACATGCCTACCTCTCGTGGGTTCATATGAGAACACAAATGCCATCCACCACCAAGTACTTCTCTACATATTTCTGCTTTCAGAACAGCTTCTTCAATGAAAATATTTTGTAAGTTACACGGCCATCATATTGGGAGCTAGAAACCTGTTGATATAATGATCTGTGAGTGACTGAGAGCTCACTGCACCTTCCTTGCAGGTTTGGTTTTCTTTTTTCTTTTGTCTAATGGACAAAATTCCTGCTTTGTCCTACTGTGGGAAGAGTCGAAAACCCAGTTGGAGCCCCTAATACCACAACAGCAGTAACACTCGTAGCGCGGTCAGCGCGGTGATTATCGGAGAGTCGGGGCTTTACCCCCCCTCCCCTGCCCTGTCACTTCCCGCACAGGCAGCCCTGGCCGCCGCCGCAGCGACCGCCACCCGAGAGCGAGCCCGCTGTCCCCGCGGCCCTCCC